ACATGACAACACTAGAACCAACAATCAATATGAAACCACCGACAAACCGACATGACACTTAATTCTGACTTATACCCGAAAATCGTTAACGGCCGATTTAAATGTGCAGTGATCCGAACTGTCAAAACCATAGGATTTTTTGACCTAGATTAAAATAATTTGTCCAGAATAGATCAGTCACGAAACAAATAATAACTTTTGCATGCGGGTTCATGGCTTAGCTAAATATTTCCCGCGAACACGGAGTCAGATGTCAGTAGTGTGCTTTGGTCAGAAATTTTATTGTTTTTGCTATGGTCATTCATGTCGGTTTGTCGGTGACGAAACTATTGATTTTAAATTGGCTCACTACTTGACTAGCCTATTGGTCCCAAGCAAATCGATTAACGTACCCCATTCTGGTCTAAATTCCAATACTACACTATGTTTGTTTTGATTCGCTATGAAAGTTTGACAGATAAAATTAGGGGTTAGTGGATTTTCCTATGTTTCGAGGGGTGCATCGGTTAGCTTGGGACCGAAGAGCGTACCAGAGCTGAGCCAAAAAGTTTTTCTTTGGGACCTTCTGGTCTTAGATTTACCAACAATCAATACGAAACTAACGATTTAAATTGGCTCACTACTTGACTAGCCTATTGGTCCCAAGCAAACGATTAACGTATCCCATTCTAGTCGAAATTCTAGTACTACGCAATGTTTGTTTTGATTCGCTATGAAAGTTTGACAGATAAAATGAGGGGTTATTGGTTTTTCCTATGTTTCAAGGGGTGAATCGATTAGCTTGGGACTGAAAAGAGTACTAGAGCTGAGCCAAAAAGTTGAGTTCGTTATTTCGGGACCTTCTAGTCTTAGAGTTACCTCTATCATAGAGTTAACTCCAAGACTAGAAAGTTCCGAAATAACGTACTCAACTTTTTGGCTCAGCTCTGGTACTCTCGTCGGTCCCAAGCTAATCGATTCACCCCTCGAAACATAGGAAAATCCACTAACCCCTCATTTTCACCCCTATTCTGTATTTCGTTTCGAACGAAATTCTCATACAAAAAAAATATTTTTTTGTATGAGAATTTCGTTCGAAACGAAATACAGAATAGGGGTGTTTATCTGTCAAACTTTCATAGTGAATCAAAACAAACATTGTGTAGTAGTAGAATTTCGACAAGAATGGGGAACGTCAATCGTTTGCTTGGGACCAATAGGCTAGTCAAGTAGTGAGCCAATTTAAAATCGTTAGTTTCGTATTGATTGTTGCCTCTATGATGATACACTCTTTGCACACTGTCAAAGATCATTGCATACAAAATCAACTTTGTTAAAATTAAAACAAAAATACTAGCCCATCTGATGGCTGATGGTACAAACTTCTAAGAAAATTCTATTACAGCGAACCACATTATTTATATGATTTCTTCGCCAGTCTGTCACTTCGTTTGTGGTTCCATTCAACGTCCATTTCTAAATCAGTTTTAATGTATGTGATATTTGTAATATTGTACTTATTTTTATATTGACTTCCTGCTCCGTCAGTGAACACGTAGGTTTTTGTAGTTTGCACAAGATTAAGCTTCATTAAATCAAACAATTCCTTGAAGCAACAGCGTACAAGAACGTAGTTAAGCCCGAGAACGGGTGATATAATTATTAAAGTTTTATGATGCAACTCCCCATTTACACTGTAGTAGAGTTCAAACGGGTAAAAAGTGTCAATTTTTATCGCAAAATGATGCGATTAAATCTCGGTTTTGTGTTGTTATTTTGAAGTTTTCTGCAAAATCTGCGTAAAGAATAGCCTCATTTGGTTTTAGATTTGATTTTAACTCGAACAGATGGTCTTTTTGTTCCTGTGGATTTAGGAATTTCAATAGAATTGTAATAAGTAAGGTGCTGAAATTATCTACAAACTCCTCAGGTGAATTTGCAATAATATCAAATAGTTGGTAATGGTTTTCAGATTGATTCCAGGTTTTATGCTTAACAGTTTCAAGTGGAAAATTTTCCATTTCATCCAGCAATTTATCACTGAACTCACTCAAATCAGGGTAACAAGTAACACTTAAGAGAAGGGCTCTTACATATTAGAGAATATTGAATCAACTGGCTCAAAGACCTGGCTTTCCTCATCGGTAAAGCTTTCACAGCACGCAAGCACAACTTAATGTTTTCGTGCCTCATGCATACACACACTGGTAAGCATGCATTATAAAGGTCGAAGTTAGGCAAAAGTGAAAAAAAAACAAGGGGGGGGGGAGGTGGCTGTCAAATACGAACAATCGTCGCCTACCTCGCATAGCTGGTTCCAAACGTAAACAAGCCATAAGAAACCTACAGGGTTTGTTTACGTTTGGAACCAATTTCATACAAGAATGATCAGAGCCGGCGCCGGTGGTGTAGTGGTAAGCGTGACTGCTTTCTAACACCCCAATGGGTCTGGGTTCAATCCCAGCCGAGGTCGGTGGGATTTTTCTGTGTTGATATCCTACGCAGGTGTGGAAGGTGCCTTCCTGCACATTCGATTGCCGTCAATGGATGGCAATCGATGTCCGTCGGTGATTGGCACTAGAATGCGGAACAGAGACCGACGTTAAATAAAGGAATGAAAAAGAAGAAGAAGAAGAAGAAGAAGAAGAAGAAGAAGAAGAATAAGAATGATCAGTAGGCTGATTTGACAGCACGTCCCACCCTAGGAAAAAACCAATTAGGGAACAAATCTTTGAAGTTTGCGAACAATTATTCGTTTAGTAATCTAAGAAGCAAACGTTTTTGTTTAGTTTCTTTTTCATTTGATGATGATTTTGACAGCAAAGTACTAGCATCGGGTAGATTAAGAATTCCCTTGATATCACTTACCCCACTTACCTGCAGATGTACACGCTAACTTCAGCTTACTCACCGGATGAGTCGATCGTACTCACTTTCGTCCGATGTATCGAGTTGTCAAAAACTGAGTAAACGAGAAATGTCAAACTGAGTAAAAGCCACTCAGTCAGCAAAATCCTGGACTTAGAAAAAATTCCAACCATGTTGGAGGAAACTTCATAGGAAAAGTTACTCAAAACCGGTTGAAATGCCTTCAGGTAAGAAGGAATTGCTTAGGGAAACGGTGTTGAAGCATTTTCTGCTCCGGTAGAATAAATCCGGAGCAGGAAATTTCCTTTTCCTTAAATAAAAATCAAAACAAAAACACTCCCCGCAACTGAAAATATCGCTGAGTGGATTTGACTCAGTCTACGTGAGAACGTCGTTTACTCAAAAGTGAGTCAACATAAGGCTACTCAATTTTGAGTAGCCCTACTTGCCGCTGAGATGAGTACATTCGACTCAATTTTGAGTTGACCAGAATAAGCATGTATGTAAAGTTAGTACCGTGACATACTTACTACATCCGGTATCATTGATAATTTTCTGTCTGCTCCAAGAGGGTGTAAGCAATGTTAAAATTTGGAATTGTACCCATTTTGGTGATGTTTTATAGGTATCAATTATATCAATTTATCTCGGTTAGTTGGCTCTTACCCGGATTTCCACATTTTTACACAAGAAGTTGCATATTGGTCTCAGAAGCTGTTACCGAAATCCGCAAACATGATTCTTAGTTCTCGCCTGTCAAAGATGAACGAGAATAGAACAACCCGTGGGCCGGATGCGAAGACTTTGTCCAAACTTGAAGCGGGCCGCACAAAATGAGGCCGCGGGACTAGACACTCAGCTACGTTTCGGTAGTTTGATAATAAATTTGATGAACTCTGTAAAAAAATACCGAACGATCAGTAAAATAAGCCAAAACGCCGAATTCGGTAAAAAATTACCGAGCAAACCGTAAATCACAAGTAATTTTACCGAAATTTTGTACTATCAAACTGTCAAATCTGGAGAGGCTTTATTTACTAGTGAATGGTAAATAGTGCATCCGGAGTCAAGTGCAAATAAAGTTTACAAAAATTGCGATTGAGCAGGTAAGGATAAAAATTCTTGACCACGATCAATGGATCACCGACATATTTCATGAGTAATTGTTTATTTAGCTAATCCAATTATTTTCCAGGCATTGTCAGCGATAGCATGATTTGATTGCAGCTTATTTATCTGGACTGCATCGCGTCAGTGACAATTTTAAAATTCAATAAAAACTGATAAATATTATTTCAAGACTTTTTAATTCAAATTAACTGAAAACGGTAGTAAAATAAAAAAAAGGGGGAAAATCAGTTTTACAGAACACAGCAAAAAAATAATTTTGATATCACTTCAAAGTGGATGCACTACAATCATGTCGAAAATTTCATGTAATTTTTATGATCACATAAATAAACAAATGCAGTAAAAGCAGCGTAATGTCAGTTCATGCATTTTATTAATGATAATTTTGTCATTTTTAGCAAGTAATATTACACCATATTTTCGACATGATTGTAGTGCATCCACTTTGACGTGATATCAAAATTATTTTTTTGCTGTGAACAGTTCGGTAAAAATTACCGAATCGCTCCGCAAAAAAAGTACCGAATCGTTCGGTAATTTTGACATCATTGAGGCTCATTGAGGCTCATCAAAAAATTGGTTTACCGAAGGTTCGGTAGGCATTTCGTTTACCGAACTGATTACCGAACGTTCAGCTGTTGAAAGTTCGGTAAAAAATTGCCGAGTACGGTAATAATTTCTGAGTGTGTACCCTAGATACTCTCCAACTCTGATAGGGTGTAGCACTACTTCAGCATATGGGACCCATTTCCGTCAAGAACAATGAAGACAAACAGCTTTATCCAACATTCATACAAGACATTCATTGCTCACTATTTATATGTTAAATTACGAATACCTTATATACAAATCAAGTGAAGTGAGGTATGCCGAAATGGTGCCGCACCCTTGTTCTTCTCCGTAATAATATTATTACTGCCGATTTCCTGTGGCTACTGAAGAAAATAACCGAGACTTCTTTCAAATATCAATGCGCTTTCTCGATTTTGGTAAAAATACTTTTATTACATTTTTGCTTCTTTGTTTTCAGTGTATAATACAAATAGTGAAACAACTTTTTACAATGGTTTATTACACAGCTATAGTCTTTGAAGCCTTCTTTGAATTGAGATGTGATCGCATTAATTAGTGAGTGCTTCAGCGATCGCATATGAAATCCGTTTGCCGTTTCTCTTTGAATTTCGCCTTCATCTTAGGGAATTCCGGTAGGATCGTTAATTTTTTTCAGAATTATTCTTCACAGGTGGGGATTCAATGGGAGTCCGAGCGCTGTGGTTGGCTCAACCCAGCCCTTGGAGCCAACCACGACGCTCGAATTGTTACGGGACGTGAAATGATAGATTCACTTCTCACTGGAATTAGTTTTCGTATAGAAGCTGCAATCTGCCGGGATCCGATTCGTCACTTGCTGCTCGTTGTTGTTCTGAATCCCGGTCGTCCTCCAGTCGATGGTGCCGGTATCGACCGACGTGACTGCTGGTGTGACTGGCTACAATCGAGTTCCGTTTGCTGCTTCCGGCTTCATGGCTGGAACTGGTGCCACCGTCCTTCAGTTCGTAGTCGATTTCGTTTTCTAGTGCATTCCTGTTGGCGCCAAACAGGCCTTCCAGGTCGATCGCCGGTGGGCGGTGTTGATGGTTGCTGGTTAGGTGTTCATCTTCCAAGCGGGACTTCGATAACCACTGTTCCAGATTCAGTCCACCGCGGATGTTGGCTATGGGAGGTGGTGGCGTAAGCGGAGGGGTTGAGCTTCGCTTCCGTAGATAGTTGAAACAGCACGTACGGAAATGACGCGTTCCGCACGCTGAGGCACATTCGCGCCCACAGGAATCGCATGATAATGCTACCGGGAACGAGCAGGCCACCCAAAGTACGCAATCTGCAGAAGAGAAAAAGGGCGAGAATGTGTGAACTTGACGAATTTATGACTCATTAATTGAATGATTTACGCTGATTCTATCGTTATCAGCGTGTTTACGGTTTCAATCACCGATTAGGGGTTGATTTTTCCAGAAACGAGGTCAAACGCTGAATTACGTGTTTACTTAAGGGAACGTTGAATGAAATTTGCTACTGCCATGGCGGTTTCAATTAACAATAATTGACCTACGTCAAAGGTGGCATATTTCGTAGGAGGGGCAGAATAATTCGCAATCCGAACATCAAAGAACGACGGAGAGGGAAGATTTCAGCATAATCGATTACTTAGAAGTCACCTGTCAATGTCAAGAGCAAAGCTGAGCAGTTATTTTTAGCATAATTTAATTGAAATCAAAATTTTAAACCATCGTCACCACGTGCACGATTTTTACTGAACTCTGTTGATGGATGTGAGAATCATTAACCGGTCGACAATTAAAATAGACCAAGGAAGAGGCCGAACAACGATTGGCGTGAATCTGCTTTGTAATCTCCATATTCCGTGTTTCAAGGGCACACCCTTGGCTTGTTGCCTCTTTCGTATGTCAGTAACCAATGTCACAGCCAATTGCGTCGATTGTCACGTAATGATGTATATTTTTTGCCAACGAATCTTGTGATGTGTCAAATTTCGTTATGCAAGTGTGTACCATTATTACCGTGATTGGGTTTATGTTCCTAGAAATTTCTTTGAAAAATGTCACGACACGGTTACATAAGGAGCTGTTCATATACTACGTAAACAGTTTTTGAGTGGTTTTAGACTCCGCATAGTCATTCGTCTATGCATTTTTTTGGAAATTTTTATGGACCGTAGACATTTGTGTAAAATTTATGAACGAGTGTACCCCATTAGGCATAAATACGTTAGACGCATAATATACGATAGGCATAACCCAAGTAACAATTTTGGTTTTATAAGGGTTCTGTAGACCATGATTTAGACTTGTAGCATGCTTTAAAACCTCCATAAAACTTGCAATGTTACTTGGGAATGGCTGTTAGGCATTAAAGCTCATGCTGTTAAGTATGTTTTTCATATACGTTCTACAACTTCTAACTTGGATCGGGAAATTCAGCTTGCATTGTGATTATCGGAGCCTACTCTGAGTAGACTGGCCCGCATTTATATGGGAGATATTTGAAATCATTTTTTCACCGGCCAACCCTAAGATTTGTGCCATTAGATGAGAAAAGCATTCTCTGAAAATTTCAGCTCATTCGGATGTAACACGAGTTGGCGCTTTTGGCTTAAGTTTATATGGGGATTTTGGTCGAAATGTATGGAGAAATAACATCCCTACACTCTTTCTTGCATGAAACTGGTTCAGCAAACTCTTTTAATCTCAGCACATGTAGCTTAATATATAAGAAACAACATTGCTCAAGACAGCATCACTAGCGTGCACAGGAATCTTGTTAAGGAGGGGCATATTTTTCTATGGTGCATTTAATCTGGGGATGGGGAGTATTCCAAAGTGCGTGGTGGATGGTGCTGTGCACCCACCGCTGTTTCCTTACAGTTCAATCTAGCTAGTTTTATATATTTTTTGCTCCGGTGGTGGTTCATCTTCTTCAATGCAAACTGCTTTCAAATAGCCTATGGAATTGGCAATTTAATCCCACCATTATCAATATAACTGAAAACAATCACCAACTACCAACTGCTCGTGGTGGCCACATTACATTGTGCAATGACATAATCAAGTCATTTTGAATACGGTTACTTGTGTACTGGCAATTTTTGGCACCTTCCGCCAAGTGTTTTTCCAGCACAGAATCGTAGTTAGCTACCAACTGGGTGGCACACTTTCCGCTCCTTCCGAATGTTCACGTAGTGGTCGGCCACCTTTGCAAAGTATGCGCACAATATCGATGAAACGTTCCATTATATATCGATTTTGTAGTCGCTTTGCCTCACCAGCAGCAATCATAGCTGTTTTTTGGAGGTCCAGTTCTTCGTCGATACCCTTCCTGGTTTTGAAATTCTTCCACGCTTCCATACTACCAACATGGGTATCACTGCGATTGTGTTTGCCCAGCAACTTGGTTGCTTTCTTCCAATTTCTGAACCCTGTAGGAATCGCTGTAATATTTTTTTGCGTCATGCTCTTCTTTACAGGTTAAAAGTATAAACCGAAGAAAATATATTCGTCAAGGTACTGGTATCATCTTTTATTAAGTTACCTTTCTGAAATTTTGTGCAGTACGTTTTTGTATATTTGGAAGGCATTGTTACAGTTTATTTTTGAATATTTGTTTTGTAAGACCTTATATGCTGTTGTAGTTACACTTTACTATTACCGTTGCGAGTACGTTGAACTTAGTCATTTTCAGCGAAAATTGTCCAAAAGCTGTCTATTGCGAAAAAATACATCCTCAGAATTCCTTGAGGTTCTTTTCGAAATTTTTATGAGCTCTTTTGAAATTCTTCTCCGAAGTCCTCTGGAATTATTTTTAGAACTCTTCTTGAGTATTGATCAGAACACCTTGGAACTGAAATTCCCTTAGAGTTTCAGAAGAATTTCCTCAGTATTATCCAGAAATTATTCCCGGCATGAGCTAGAAATTATCGGTACTCACTTGAAATTTTCCTCAACATCCCTTTGGAATTTCACTCAAAATTTAATTTTCTCGGTATTCTTTTCGGAATTATCTTTGCAGAATTCACTAGAAACTATTCACAGAATTTTCTTGGAATACTCCCCAGAAATCCTTTGGAACTGTCCTCAGAATTCAATATCCTTGAGGTTCTTATCGGATTTTTTAGAACTCTCCTAAGAGCTCTTTTGAAATTCTTCTCAGAAATCCACTGGAGTTATACTTAGAACTCTTCGTGTTTTTTTCTTAGAACAACTTAGAACTGAAATTTCTTTAAAGTTTCAGAAATTTTTCCCGGAATGAGCTTGAAATTATCCACAAAATTCCCTTCAAATTTACCTCAACATCCCTTTGGAATTTCACTCAAAATGTGATTTTCTCGGTATTCTTTTCGAAATTATCTTGGAACTATATGCAGGATGCACTAGAAATTATCCGCAGAATTTTCTTTGAATTCTCCCCAGAAATATTTTGGAAGTGTCCTAAGAATTCAATATCCTTGAGGTTCTTCTCTGTACATTTTAGAACTTTTTTTCTCAGAACACCTTGGAAGTGAAATTCCTTAAAAGTTTCAGAAGAATTTCCTCTGCATTCTTCAGAAATTCTTCCCAGAATGAGCTTGAAATTATCCTCAGAATTCCCTTGAAATTTTCCTCAACATCCCTTTGGAATTATCTTGGAACTATCTGCAGGATTCACTCGAAATTATTCGCAGAATTTTCATGCAATCATCCCCATAAATCTTTTCTTTTGGAACTGCCCTCAGAATTCAATGCCCTTGAGGTTCTTCTCGGAAGTCAAGTTTAAGTTGTCCGTCCATTCACCAGAACTGTGCAATTTTTACATTAGGAATTTTCAGTTCAGATTGTTGCAAATCTTACACTAGAAATTTTCAATACAAATTTTGACCCCAGGTAATTTTACACCAGAAAATTTCAATTGTCCAAAACAATGCAAATTTTTCACCGTTAAATCAAATAAATAATATCAATAAGAATTGCTTCTTCAATCTTCTGATTGGTGCAGATTTCCTTAATCAATTTTCCACCAGACAATTTCAATATAGCTGGTTTCTCCTATCATCAGAATGTTGCATGTTTTCCACCAATTAAAGCTTGCCCCTATTTCCAGATTTTTCATCATAAATGTTCAGTAAAGCAGCTTTCCTCCAATCATCAGAATGGTGCAAATTTTACACCAGAAATTATTCTTAAAATGTGTTTCTCTATTGCAAACAAATGCATGCAGGATGCAAATTTAAAGCCAACAATTTTCCGATAAGCTTGTCCATCCGTTTACCAGAACGGTGCAGATTTTCCACCAGAAATTTTCAATATAGCTTAATTTTAAATAAAACTTGTGCCTTCATTTACCAGAACGGTGCAAGTTTTCCACCAGAAATTTTCTGTTTATTTCATTAATCAGAGCGATGCTCCTCCATTCATCACAACGGTGCACCAAAAATTGTCTGTGAAGTTTGTTTCACCATGCACCTTGGTGGTGCAATTTTCGCACCATAAATTTTCAATAAAGCTTGCATTCATCAGAACGATGCAAATGATGCACCAGAAAAATGAATAAACCTTGCTTCTACATTCATCACAGTGCTGCGAACTTTCCACCAGAGCTTTTCAGCTAAATGTACACCTTCAAATTTTTTGCGTGATTCAATTTTTACACCAGAGTTATTCATTTAGATTAGTCCCTCCATGCACACCCTTGATGATATTTTACACCAGAAATATTTAATAAAAAGCTTTTTCTTCGATTTACCACCACAATGGTGAATTTTTTCAACCTTAAATTTACCCTCTACTTTTAATCCTCCACCCTCAAAAAAAAAAAATTACACCAGATTTTTTTGTATACACCACTGTGGTGCAATTTTTTGACCAACAAATTTCATTGAAATTTGACCCTTCATGCACCTTTGTGGTGAAATTTTCAGGCACCATCTCGAAGGAATTGACGCAATAAAAGGTTTTCTGTGCCCTTGTATTATGAAATGAAGTTATTTTAGCTTCAAATAAAGTTATCAAGAAATCTAGTTATTTTATGTCATAATTTTATAAATGTGGAAATAAATATCTTATTTATAAAAGGGGGGGCAATTGCTGAATGTTTCAGCTTTTTTTTGACCTAACACGGACTAGTGCTTTTGGTTTAATGTTTATTTAAGGAAATTGGTTGAAATTTTCATATAAAAAATACTCATATACATTCAAAAGCGATTATCTCAATAAAACTAACGGGATTCATAATGCAATCTTCAGCAAAGTTGTTACTCATTGTTTGAACTATAAGTTTTGAAATTGTGAATCAAATCGAGAATAAGGAAACTTTTTTATGATCGAAAGA